CTCTTTCCCATATCCTTTGATTTCCTCTTAATACCATATACATGTAAAATACAGCTATTCATTATTTTTAAAGTTGATAACCCTATTTTTAAAACTTCACAGAAATTACAGTGATAATATTTATCAATCAGGGTCTTTTTAATATTTCCAGTTCCTTGCACTTCAAAACCAGAATCGTGTAGTGTTTTTAATGAAATATTCCAAATCCCCATTAAAAACACCAAAAATGTCATATTTAATTTTTACTGCTTTGCAATGGAAACTGGGCATACTGTGAATAGATTTTAGGTACACAATGTACTTTTCTTATGGAAAAATTATTTGGTGAGGCTGTGTTGCAAAGTACCATTTAAAAGAAAGGTGAATTTAGGCTGCTGGAAGGAAAAAATGGGCTCCAGCCCTTTCCTGCAATGAGGAGGTTTTGATTTCATTAGCGACTTGTCCTCCAGGCAAGTGCCATCTCGGTCAGTGGCCGGGTCATCTGGTCACTAACACCAGCATGTGCTCTCCAGTCACCATAATTCATGATCCACTCACAAGGTCTTCCATCAAATATACTGAAGTGCGTAGTTTATCCCAGCAATGCTTATAATATTATGAGAAGTCAGAGGCAGGGTTAAATTTCCTTTGGAAGTTATTTCTGAAGAATTGTTATCTTGAAATATTCTAGTTCTACTTCCTAGTAGCAACTTCTATTTAAATCCTATAAGTGCACTCCATTAAGACAATGTCCGACGCTCTCCCCCAAAGCTTTCATACTAAGTATCGCTGACGCACATGGATGGTTGTACCATGGAAAGCTTCTACATTTGCCAAAATGCTTGCAGACAGCACCTTCCAGGTGGAAATGCATGGTTGATTCAATTAGCAAAGCTCATGCTGTTCATTTGCCTGTTACACTGAGCTGACTTTGGTGAGATGTCTACTTTAAACATCAGCTCTATTTCTGCTTTCTTCACTATTGCTTATGAGTGGTCCAGAGTTGTGTGTGTGTGTATGTGTGCATGTGTGTGTAAATGACAATAGTGTAACTTTTCAAGAATGTAGCAATTCATTTGACAAAGCATGAGCAGAATCTTTCTGAATGCTTTATGTTCACATCATTCCATTGCGTGCATCTGTGCTTGAAGCACCAGGGGCTGGAAGTTGGACAACATCTGTTCCACAGGCACCAGCAAGATTCCCAAGTCAGGCTTTCTATCAAATTAAATCTGATAAATTGCTTCTTGACTAACCTACCAGAAAAGTTGATGGTAGCTTTCTTGAGTAAACATAGAGGCCTTTGAACTGGTAATATATAGGTATAGATGATATAGATCTAGATATATAGAGATAGAGAGAGAGAGAGAGATGATATAGATATTCCCATGATTTCCCTTCTCTCCCTATAATCAGTGCCTTCCAAAGAGGAGAGAGAGATGATATAGAGATTCCCATGAATGCTCTTCTCTCCCTATAATCAGTGCCTTCCAAAGAAGATGTTTTGGATAGAAGATCTGTATCAAAGTAAATTTCCTCAGAAATGAAATATAAATGATTGCTCCAAGCAAGATAAAATTCAGTCATTGTTACAGAATACTTTTGCAAGAAAGCACATCTTATAATACCACAAGACTAATGTCTAAAGGAAAAAAATCCATATTCTTTAAAAATTGATCATAAAATTTACCCAAATAAGTGGGTGAGTTGTACCAAAATGGGACATCTTTCAGCTCACAGCCCCTACTTTCCTCATCCTGCACACAAACATCTTAATGTTTTGTGAGCCATGAACTCTTCAGCAGTCTGGTGAAGCCTATGAACCACTCCTCAGGATAATAGTTATAAACGTAGGACAGTAGGTGGCATAGTGGTTAAGGCAGTGGACTCCCACATGGCCGATCTGGTTTGAATCCAAACCAGCAGTTCAAATTCACTCCAGGTGCATGGATATGCATGCCCAGAATCCTGAGAGGCTAGTGGAGGAGAGGGGATTGTGGTATGGCCATCCTCCTGAGGGGTGATTTCTTGCTTTCTTTCTATGTAATTACAAAACAAAACCCTTTTCTAAAATTATATTATCAAAATTTAAAAATAAATTTATGATATAGAAATGCATGTACTCAGGCCAGCAGGTGTCTTACTGGTTAAGGCACTGGACCCCCATGTGGCCTACTGCAACTTGAGTCCTGTACCCAGCAGCTTAAAACTCACACTGGGTGCATGTACATGCATGCCCAAAATCCCTAGAAGAGAATGGAGGAGAAAAGACTGTAGCATGGCCATCCTCCCCCAGGGGGTGATTTCTAACTTTCTGTCCCTCTGTCTCTCCAGTGAGCACATGCACCCTATAGCAAAATCTCTTCAAAAAAAGAGACAGGAAGAAAAGGAAAGAAAGAGGAAAGAAGAGGGGACCAGCAATTAGCATAATGGCTATGTCGCTGGATTCCCACGTAGTCGACCGCGGTTTGAGTCCCAAACCCGGTGGCTTGAACTCACGCCGGGTGCATGTGCGTGCGTGCCCAAGATCCCAAGAGGAGAATGGAGGAGAAGGGATTGCAGCGTGGCCATCCCCCCTGGGGGGTGATTTCTCGCTTTCTATCTCTCTTTCTCTCTCTGTCTGTCTGGCAAGTGCACGCGTCCTATAGCAAAAGCCTCTTCAAAAAAAAAAGAGAAAGAAAAAAAGAAAGAAAGAGGAAGGAAGGAAAGAAGTAAGAAAAAGATGCTCTTCTATAATGCATTAAAAAAAAAATAGACCCATTCATTCTCTGTCATATGACTGCTAAGAGTACTCCACAGGCTGGGACTACATGGGAAGCCCAGGATCAAGTCCTGGTCAAACCTAAAAGGTGCATCTATAATCCAGCATTGTGAGAAGGCTGAGGAAAGATCACCTGCTGGAGGCTGGCCAGGGAAACAGAGAGACCTTGTCTAGAAAAGAGCCAGGTGTAGTGACACTCACCTATGGCCCCAACAGGGAGGCTAAGGCAGGAGGATCATGCTGCAGGGAGACCCTGAAATAAATAAATAAATAAATAAATAAATAAATAAATAAATCACCATAGCAGTGAGTCCAGTAAGAACTATATTTTTGAAATAATGATGAGCAAAATCAATATTCAAGATGAAACAATCATGGTTTCATCTAGTTATAAAATGGGATATAGAAATATTTGTAATTTCTCTGAATAACAAAGTCACAAGTAGTGCTAATGCCATTGTAATTTGTTGCCATGGTTAGGAAAAAGACATAATTCTTTTCCCATCCATGCTCACAACTTCCTAAATTATATTCAGATCCATTGGAGGTCTATCAGCCCACGTCTGAGACCCTGAGTCCGGTGACTCTTGCTACTCCTCCCAGCTGTACTTGACCCCTAGAGAGGTGCAGCAGGGGAAAGGAACAGGCACCAGCACCCTTCATGTGCACACAATGACGTCAGTACAGCCACAGTCCAACCTCAGCCCTGCCCCATGTCCCTGGCAAGAAGCCCAGTATCTGAAGTGTCCCCTCAGAGGGGTCACTCTGCGTCAGCTTTCTCCAGCCAGGAATCAGTCCCTGGCAATACTACCAAGAATTAATTCTTACTAATTCATAGCAGAATATGTTCGTTCTTCTCCATGATGTCTTACGCCAGGATCAAAAGTGATCTTCAAATATCATTTATGCTTATTTACCGAAATTTTACATGCTTGGTCTGCACTGTCCTCAGGAAACATGTTTCATAAATCTACTTACTTCCTTCGGTAAAAGTCCTCCATGTCTCCAACTGGACTTTGTTCCCAAGATTGAAGTCCACATTTCTGCATGGATGTCTGAAAGCAGATGCGTCATCTGCTGCCCCAAATCGGTTTGTCCTCCGACTTCCTTGACTACTCTCTCTGACTTGCTCGGAGCATCACCATTACTGGAAACCAGACTTTCCAGCCCTTACCTCCTTCCCAGACTTCACTTCCCAATCTACAGCCGCCCTCCAGTCAGCCTTTCCGCTCCAATCTCATGGCCGCCACATTAGTTTACATTCTAACCTGGGTTACCATCATCATGGCCCCTGCTCTCACTGCTCAGGGCCTTTACCCACTGCTGCTAACTTAGTTGTCCTGGAGGGCAAACTCCCAATTTTAGTACCCTGTTCAAAAATCTTCAGTGGATCCCCACTGTCTTCTGAACTATAGGTCCTGTTCTACAAGCCTCTCCCGACATAGCCCCAGACACCCAATTTAACTACCTGGTTTTTTAAATTTTTTTAAGGTTTTTGCGATAGGGTATGTGTGCTTGTCAGAGAGGAAAGAGACAGAGAGATAGTAAGAGGGAAAGTGAAAAATCCCCCCCCCCACCAGGGGGAATAGCCATGGTGCAAGCGATTTTCTTCCAGTCTCCTTCTGAAATTTTGGGCATACACACATATGTACCCAACAGGATTTTCAAGCCACCATGTCTGGGACTCAAACCATGGTTTGTTATATGGGAGTCCGGTGCCTTACCACGACCCCACCTGCTGACCCCTTAGCTACCTGTTTTACCCTGTGTTCCAAACTCAATTTCTTTTGTTCCATGAATCAGAAAGCAAGTATTTTGTCCCACTTATTTTCAGGCCTTGCTGCCTTTTTCATACTATACTCGCCTGGAGTATGTTTCTCCAGAAACTTCTTTTGTTGAAATCCTACTCTTTCTTTAGAGACCATCTGGTACCAGCAGGTAGCATGGTGGTACCAGATGGTACCAGAGGCTGGACTCCCACATAGCTGACCAAAGTTCAAGTCCCAGACCTGGTGGCTTGCTTTCTCACTTTCCCTTTCTCTCTCTCTCTCTCTTTCTCTCTCTCTCTCTCTCTCTCTCTCTCGTCAAATTAAAAAAATAATAATAATAAATACAATAAAAAGAATTATTTTTAAAATAAAAAAAGATCATCTGAAGCACTAATATTTTCCCTTTATTGGAAAACTTTCTTGACAAGCTCTTACCTTTCCCAAATGAAAGAATGCGCCCCACTTTCAGCCTTTGCAGGATTTTTCAGGATTTACCTGTCTCCACCTTTCATTAAGATCCAGTATGTTTGCCTTGCCCACCTCATTACATTTCTAATTCCTAAGGGGAGGGCATGTTTTAATTTGTCCTTAGTGCTTGACATAGTATCTTTTTATCATGCATATTCAATACATGTTTTGCACTGAACTGAAATTATTTCAATGCAAAAAAATGGATATGCGGGAATGGCTTGTCTTTTTCTTCTCATGTATTGCAGAATAGGCTAGCTTGTGGGAACTCACAAACTCTTTTTATTATTATTATTAATTAGTAAATTCTAGTGATATTATGCTTGCATCTGACCTTCATCAACACAGTCTCATGGACTAGAATGCTCCTTTTCTCCAAACTTTGTCCTAATCGACTCCAGCTGGGCTTTCAGGGCTCAGTATGGTTGGCATTTTCTCCAGGAAGCCTTCGCTAACCCAGGTCTGACTTCGTGGGCATGCAACCTATGCAGTTGCATGGAGCCCTGTCATCACCATCTGGAAATTCTTAATGATTTTTAATAAAGAGCCCCACATTTTAATTTTGCATTTGATTCCACAGATTTAGCAGCCAGTCCTGCCTAAGCCATCCTCTCCCATATGCTCCTGTCATCTCCCGTATTTTCCCTATTGTTGCAATTATCCCTCAGAGTTTCAATTTTCTGTTTACATCTTTTTACTCCTTGTATGCTTCAAAAATCTTTAAACTCTTTGAAGGCAAAACAAATAAAAGAATTGATCTTATTTATTATTATCTTCCTATGGCTCAGCCTAGCATTATATACTTAATATTTGCTGATTCAATAAATGGGTAAATGGTTAATGAATAAAGGAATGAATAGGAACCAGCAGTTAGCGTAATGGCTATGTTGCTGGACTCCCACATAGTCAACCGCAGTTCGAGTCCCGGACCTGGTGGCTTAAACTCACACTGAGCGCGTGGGTGTGCGTGCCCAAGGTCCCGAGAGGAGAATGGAGGAAAAGGGATTGCAGTGTGACATCCCCCCTGGGGGGTGATTTATCGCTTTTTATCTCTCTGTCTCTCTCTGTCTGTCTGGCGAGCGCACACGCCCTATAGCAAAAACCTCTCCAAAAGAAAAAAAAAGGAATGAATAAAGAAATTAATAAATAAGTGAATGTGTTATCCCTTCTGTAACACTTTTGATGGCCAGAGGGATAAAAATCTTTGGTTTGTAATCTTCAGATGGGCCCCTATAGTAATAGTAGTCTCATTAGAAAGGGGTGTAGGGACAGCCAATGGCATGGTGGATCAATCCCACATGGCCAACTGCATGGTTTGAGTTCTGGACTAACAGTTTGAAAAACATGCCAGTGCATGTGTCTGTGTGCCCCAAATGCCAAGAAGAGAATGAGAAGAGACTATGGACATGACCATCCCCCACGGGAAGTGCTTTCTCACTTTCCCTCTCTCTGTCTCTCTCTGGCGAGCACACATGCCCTATAATAAATTGGAACAAAAAAGAAAAAAGAGAAAGGAGTGCAATATTAACTCAAAGAAGAAAAGTGGCTAAGGAGTGACATGAAGGGAAAAGATTAAGCAGCACCAAAATATGAACAAAGAAGAAACTATCAGAAAGATTTGTTTTTAGCCTAAACATAGAGATCATGAAGCTACCATTAGATACTCTTGGAGGGAGAAGGTATCTTAGTCATTAAATAGTCCCCTGCTCACTTTTCCTTATGTTTTCTATAAGCTTGGACTTGGTAGGGAAGGGACATATCCAGATGCCACTCAACAGAGGGAAAAATCTGTCACTGTCCTTTGATATCGCATCATCTTCCCAGCTACCTTTTACAGATTCCTGACTCATTTTCTCAATAGTTGTTTGGGGGTCGAGTAGGTGCATCGGATTTTTATCACTAGTTTATAATTTCTAATCTATTAGGGCCAATTTAAAATACAGTGCAATATCCTGAATCATTAGATGCAAGAGCCGAGGTATGATGATCCTTAGGAACATTGTGTATGAGGCTTTTTTCACCAGTGGACTCCTCCTCCGTGGAGACTTCTTACATTGGAAACAGCAACTATATCTCCCAGTCAGAGGATGGGGAATAAACTCCAAAAGTCTCATTAAGCCAAAAATGTTACCACCATTCTTCTCCGTGCATGTTCTTCTGCTAATATTGTATGGAGGCTTAGCCTACACAGATAGTACTTGTACCCACTTTCTGCTTCACAGTCTTGGATGAGTTCAAAAATATTCTTTGGGACCAGCAGTTGTCATAATGGCTATGTTGCTGGACTCCCAAGTAGTTGACTGTGGTTCAAGTCCTGGACCCAGTGGCTTAAATGCGTGCCAGACACGTGTACATGTGTCCCCAGGATCCCAAGAGGAGAATGGAGGAGAAGGGGTTGTGGCATGGCCATCCCCCCGGGGAGTGATTTCTCACTTTCTTTCTCTCTGTCTGTCTCTTTCTGGCAAACGTATTTGCCCTCTAGCAAAAACCTCTCCCCACCGCAAAAAAAAAAAAGGGGGGGGGGGATGTGTGTATATATATATATATATATATTTTCTTATTCTCAGTTTTCATATCTGTTAAATGGGGACAGTGATATTTCTGGTCTATACGTTTGTGAGGATAATATGGGAGAATGCACATAAAAAGACTTAACACAACATACAGCTCATTATTATCAGCTCAGAACATAGGCAGTATGAGATTCCACTCCATTTCTATGTTGAGATAGAAATAAATGGTATCAGTCAGGGGTCAGTGTGCTTTTCTCTAAAGGTTCAGAGAGTAAATATTTAGTTTTGTGGACAATACAGTCTCTGTGGAAACTACTCAGTTCTTCAGTCACAGTATGAAGGCAGCCATAGATGATACATAAACAAATGAGTATGGTTATGTGCCAATAAAACTTTGTTTACAAAAACAGGCAATAGAGACCAAATTTGTTCTCCACGTCATAATTAGCTCAATCCCTGAGGCTCTTGGGAGCTCTCAGTCAAGTGTGGTTACCCCCTAGGGGGTGATTTCTTGCATTCTGTATCTGTCTTTCTGGCAAGTGCATGTGCCCTGTAACAAAACCTCTAAAAAAAAAAAATCATAGTAAATAAAATTTAATAAATAATTTTAAAACATAATAATGAATAAATAAATAAATAAATAAAAAGTGTATAAGAATTTTCAGGGCAGGCAGGGAGTAGGCAGAGATATTTCCACCTCCACATGGAAGAATGCAGACATTGATGTTTTAAGGATGTTTATTGGTGTGGATTTCCCAGAGATAAATATAGGGAAAAATATAGCCTAGAGCAAATAACTTGGGGGGGGGCTATTCCTTTAAATTTTGCATTTCAACATAAATAACTTTGAAACAGAACCTTTCCTTTTATTAGACATTTTCCTGGGAGCTTGGCTCCCTCTCGATCCTGGAGGTCTGCTCCCACTCTGGTTCCTGTCCTAATGGTACAAATACACAGAGCTGAGAGGTCCCTTCTCTAGCGTTTTGACTGGATGGAAATGGAAAGAGCACGGGAATCTTTTTAATGTAAAGGAATGACAAATGAGAACCCACGAGCAATATCAGACTCTGAAAATGAGCCAGAGGTTTGCTAACAACCACTGAGATCACTTGATGGTTTATGGAAGCTGCCGAACAGGCAGATTCTGCTTCTTTGCAATGGGAGTGCTACAGCATGTGCCCCCCAGATAAGAGAACAAGAATACACTGCCTGGGCCTTCCTTGGCATCCCTGCCTGGAAAAGGACTTGTGAGGAAAATTCACAGACTCGTAGAGTGAACATTTAAATATAGCACGGCACACACAAAAACCCAGATATGCAACCTGCTCTTTGATAACGTGGCAAAGGAGTCCCGTTTACATGAGTTAGCATATTATATGTTGGTATTCAAAATGCTTAGTACCTTCCAGGGTTTTACAATTTAACCTATGCCAATTCAAATGGGTCTGGTGCTTTACTTATTAGAAACAAGAAATTAAGTCTGTAATGATATGGCAAAATTCTTATCAGATTTCTCTTTTTTGTTGTTGTTGTTTTACAGTTTTCTCCTTGTCTTTGGTTGCTTGATTTTGTCAGTATTTTCTACCATCCCTGAACACGCAAAATTGGCCTCAAGTTGCCTCTTGATTCTGGTAAGTGAAACATAAATGAACAACAATGTACATAGAATTTATGGAAACAAGAACTGTCTGTAATATTTCTGCTATGCATTTTATCCTCTGAAAAGTTCTATCTAGAAAAAAAGAGAGAGAGAGTTGCTGTACAACATAAACATTTCAGAAAATTACTGAAGCATTTGCCCACCAAGTTAACCTTTAGTCAATCCTCAGGAACATGCAGAAATAGTGAGGATTGCTATTACATAATTGCATAGCAGTATCTTATGCTATAATTATATCATAAATAGAAGGCAATATTTAAAAGTAGTTTTAATTATGTTTATCTATGATAATAAACTTTTAAGAAAAATCAATGTCCTTGAGGTATCTCACATTGCTAAAGGCTGCAGGGTCAAGAGCATTTTCCAGTAACTGCTGTTTGGCAGTAGCTAAGTATAATTGGCCAAGAACGATGAGAATATGGCACCTCGTAAGAAAACAGAAGGTTCCTTCATGCTCTTTTCAACCACAGACTGCAATACAAGTTTAGCTGCTAATGCAGTTACCTGGTGAGAAATTCTGCAGTTTGCTCTGTTTCCATTATGCTGTCAATTCTCAGCCATACGGAATAGCTCGATTCACTTTAAAATGAAAAAAGACCCCAAGATATTTTAGTCTGAATTATTCTGGGCCTTTTAAGCTCTTATACTTTCTATTACAACTAAAGTATAGCACTGCATACTCAGATCACATCTGATTGAAAATTTGGCTCATTTACATCCATTTTGACCCATTCAATCTAAAATTATTAGACTTGACAGTCTCAAAACTGTCTGAGTAAGCTACAAACTGAAACAGCTCACTTTTGTAAAGCCTAGTGGAATACAGAGAAACGGGGCAGAGGGTAGGGGTTTATGTGCCCTAATAAACACAGATTGGTTATATGCAGTAACAGCATTTTGCATGAAAAAATCGTTCTTATCATGAAGATGTTTCCACTCATACAACCTGAGAGGAGGGTGGATTCCCTTCCTGCATTTGCCATCAGATGGCCAGTTTATGCTTGAGGTTGCCAAGACACCACCAACTCCATCAGTCCAATGTCGAGGAGAAATCATATTTGAGTCTGGAACAAATCTATTCCAATTTATTTCCATAAAAATTGTGCTCAGCTGTATATTGCTAATGTTAAGATTACTCTTTCAAAGCCCATGGTAGAGAACAGATAGACGGAAAAGTACATCAGGGAGTTGTTCCATTTGCAAGGTTCCATTTGAGTAGCAAGTGGCCTTGTAGCCAGGTCTACCCTTTTGATAATAACAAATCATCTGAATCCAAGGTCTAAGGCAAAGCTGGCTTTTAGGTCCACATGCAGAACAACCAGAAATCTTTTTTTGATAATATAAATCTGATTTTTAGATTGGGAACATGAAAAAATGGATCTACTATATGACCAATGATAGACAGAGAGAGAGATTTTTTTTTTTGAGAGGTTTTTGCTACAGGGCGTGTGTGCTTGCCAGACAGACAGAGAGAGACAGAGAGACAGAAAGCGAGAAATCGCTTTCTGCTGGTCCTGAGAGAGAGATTTTAGAGAGTTTTTTTATATCAATGATATATATCAAGAACATATTCATTAGGATTAAAGCATTTTATTCATAAGTAGGTCAACATGCTAAATGTTAAGTTTACATCCTTCTAATCTCTGAATTATAAATTCAGTCATCACTAATGTGTTTCTTAGTAGTCCGAAGAAACTCATGGAATCACAAAGCTTAAAACTGATCAGTATCTTGGGACCAGCAGTTAGCATAATGGCTATGTCGCTGGACTCCCACATAGACAACTGCGGTTTGCGTCCCGGACCTGGTGGCTTAAAACTCACGCCAGGCACGTGTGCGTGCGTGCCCAAGATCCCGAGAGGAGAATGGAGGAGAAGGGATTGTGGCGTGGCCATCCCCTCTGGGGGGTGATTTCTCGCTTTCTGTCTCTCTGTCTCTGTCTGGCAAGCGTACGCGCCCTATGGCAAAAACCTCTCCACAAAAAAAAAAAATGATCAGTATCTTGACTTTGAAAACATGAGCAGTGAACAATTGATCGGAATCTAGTCATTAGAGTGCATTTTGGTAAATAAAATGAAGACATTTGTCAGTCTTGAATGCCTTTGGATTTCACAAAGGAAAAGGAACCCCTTTTAAAAAAAAAAAAAAAAACAGAAAGGAGCCTCTTTGTGCAACGAAGTGTGGAACAATGTAGTGCTGCAGATAGATATTCTCAGGAAGCTGCTGCAACAACTTTCCATAGGAAGAGGATTTGTTAATACCTCTATTTATGTGCTACAGTGATACATCATCAAAGTGTGTGTTTTAATAACCAAAGCATTTTCTTAACATCTACCTGGAAATATGCAGGTTGTGTTGCGCAGCTAAGATTTATTGATGTTTTTCCTCACCAGCATTTTCTCTAAAAACTGAATTTTATTTGGAAAAAAAAAAGAAAAGTCAAATACAGGCCCAGCCCTATAGCCTCGTGATTAAGGGAGCTAGCTCCCACATGACCAATGCAGTTCAAGTCATAGCCCAGATGCTTGAGAAACACACCAGCCATATGTACATGTGTCTCAAAATCCTGACAGGATGGAGAAATCCAAAAGGGATTGTAAACGAAGAAGGGGTTGTGGCATAACCACGCCCCATTGGGGATGCCTTTCTCCCTCACTCTCTCTCTGTCTCTCCATCTCTAGTGAATGCACGTGCCCTCTGGCAATAAAAGAAAAAACATTAAGCATAGTTTTGTGTTCTTCTTTTTCTTTGCTAGAAATTAATAAATTGGAGAGTCATGTACATTTAAATTCCTTTTCACAATGAGTTAACATAGAATCCCATAATACAATAATTCAATCCATTGTAGAATATTGGAAGAAGCCATGCGAAATCTTAATGATTTAGGGAATTTCTTATTTATTATCTTTTAACATGTGTGTTTGAGACAGTTAAACTGATTTCAAAGTCTATCTTCTGAGCAGCTAATCTAATAGAATTCATAGAATACAAGTCTGTCTCACAGTGACTTTTGTTCCCAAGATGGAGCATATCTAGTCAATTACCATCCAAATAGGAATAATTTTAAAATATTTATCAATTTTACATGAATATCACTTTTATACACTTTTGGTGTACAAATACAACACTAGAGGAATGAATTTAGAATTACAGGTATATCACATGGCACGACTGTATTTTTTTATAACTCTACTCCTTTCGGGTTTTTTATTGCTTTAAAATATGGTCAGAAAAGGGACCAGCAGTTAGCGTAATGACTATGTCGCTGGACTCCCACGTAGTCGACCATGGTTCGAGTCCCGGATCCGGCGGCTTAAACTCATGCTGGGCGCGTGTGCGTACGTGCCCAAGATCCCAAGAGGAGAATGGAGGAGAAGGGATTTTGGTGTGGCCGTCCCCCCTGGGGGGTGATTTCTCACTTTCTATCTCTCTGTCTCTCTCTGTCTTTCTGACGAGTGCACGCGCCCTATAGCAAAAACCTCTCCAAAAAAAAAAAAAGTTCAGAAATGTATCTATATTCTAAGTTTAATTCTGATAAGGAGCATACCACAAACCCATGTGGCTAGTGGACAAGCTTCCCAGAGTCCTCTTTGCTCTCACTCTTTTGCACTAATTGTTTCTTCGAGGGTACCGACATGTTGCAAATAGGACATTTGGACATTGTCTTGCTCACTTTCCAGGAGCCCCATAAAGACTGCAACTCTCCTTTCCACACCCAAAAGAGGAGAGTCCGTCCCATCATTCTTATCCAGAATTTCTCTGCTACTGTTACTTTGTAATCTTGTAGGTTGGTAAACTTGCCTCTGTTATAAGCCAAATGAGTACCTGTGATACTTTGCTTATTCATTCTTTTCAGTTATTAACTGAAGTTTCTATATACCAGGTTTCCTTATTTATCTTAACAAAAGCAATAGCACATAGACTTAAGAATGTGATATATTAGGTTGCCTGGAAAGTCATGAGGTATTTTTTCTATGTTTTTCTGTGCAAAAATGCATCATGACTTTCCCAACAACCCAATAGACTTCGTACTCCAACACCAGGAGTTCAAATTCCAATTATACCACTTTTTAGAAAAGTGATTTGAGCAAGTACTCCTTTGTGTCTTAGTTTTCTCACCTGTTAAAAGAAGTTAGAAGATTGAGACAAGAAGTCCTTTTAAAGCTGAGAAGCCATTTTAAAGCTGAAGTGTGTCCTGGTGTGTTCAGGGAAGCTAGGCTCTAATCTCCATCTTCTAGACTCCCGAAATACTCAGACAAGGTAGGGTAACCTCTGTCCTCTCTCTGAAGTCTCTGTCAGACATTTCCATGAATTCTACTATACTGTCTATGGATGATAAGGATTGTTCTTTTCCCTTAGAGGAGAGACATTTTCTTGGTTTCTCATGTTTCTTATGCCTCTATGGTTGTTTCTGCTCATTTTTGGACAAAAATCTCTCCTCCACAGTGCTTGTCTGAATATTGCAGGAGTCTAGGAGATGAGTTTAGAGTATAGCTTCCCTGAACACACCAGGACACACCTCAGCTTTAAAATGGCTTCCTGTCTGAATATTTTCATAAATGTAACTTTTAAAAATAGGCAAAAAAGGAAAATGTGGCTAGGAGGATTCTGGGAAGATGGTTGAGTAGGAAACACCAGGAATCAATCTCCCACACCAGATAACAATCGCACTGGCAGAACCTGATATAACTATTTTGGAATTCCATCGTTTCTGGAATGCTTACATTTCCCAGGGGAGGGTTTGGACAGTAAACGGCAGTTAATTTTGGCCAACTTCAGGTCTTAGTACAATAGAACCTACCCAACCCCAACCCCTGACCCCACTGAAGACAGCTATGTACATTTTCCAGGAGACACCTGCACACAGCCTGTGGGAGCCAAGGAAGGTGGAAGGTCCCTGTTCTCCAAGTATTAGAGATTTGTGCTCTGATCACTGATTGCTGCTTCTTCTGATCACAGAGATGCATACAA